CTACACATAACCTCTCACTGATTTTTTTTTTAAAGAAGTGCCTCTGTGGATTAGATTTTCTTACATGTAAAAGAACGTTTTCCCCGTCAAGTAGTCAGAGAGCAAAAAGGGCTTGTTTCACTATTAAACCATAATTGGTTTTTGACAAATACCTTATCATGAATCCCATTTACCTACACAAATACAGTTTTCTACTCGTTTATTTTAAATAGCTGTTTTTGCATAGAATCTATTACTGAAATTATTTAGTTGGTATTTAAATATGCTGCCTTCATATTTTCCTAACAAAATACACTTTCTTCAGTGAATGAGATTATGAATTTTCAATTGATATCAATATAGAAACTTTAAAAAATAAAGAAGCATGGTCCATGTTTTAAATAAATATATTTCTCTAGAGAATTTTCCTCATCATTTCCAGGCAAATCCCTCTTGGGCTTCAGTCCTGTGTGCTGATTACAAGCTCCAGTATATTTTCTCAGAATATTGTGAACACCCCAGGTATTGAAACCCTGAGAAAGATGTTTAAATAAAGTAATGAAGGCAGTGATCCTATAATGAAGGCCCCCTCTTATGCACAAGGGAGAGGTGCCATCACCCCAAAGTTAAGCCCCCAGAATACCCTGCAGTGACCTCCACACTGACCTGCAGAGATCACTGTCTCAAGGGGTGACAGACAATTTAGTCCTTTATCCTTTTGTCATTGAAAAAGACTCCACTGTCATAAATTCTAATCAAGTCAAACTGGATGGCAATTTGGAAAAAAAAATCTTATAATGCATGTTTCTGTGAGAAAGATCATCGAAAGGAAAAGAAAAACACAACAGATAATATATTTCTTGGCATGGAGGAATCGCTAACCCAACTTTCAACCCTGTTCTAGTGGTTCACAGATAAATGATATTGAAAATATCTATTCTTATAAGTATTGTTATGCGTAATTCCTTTTAATCAAGGAAAATACATGAGAGAAAACCAACCAGGGTTTTTCTTTTATTTCAGGCACAATGTTTATATATGGTGGTGCGTTTGCATCATGGTTCAAGGTTCAGAGCAGGGCACTCTGTTCAGCTTCAGGGGAACCCAGCTGAGAAGAAAGCCACAGAAACTCATAGTCAACCAAGTTAGTTTTAACTTGAGGAAAAGCAATCATGAGGTTTAACTTGAAATGATAAAAAAAAAATTTCCCAGGGAAAATACTGCTAATAAATCATCTTTCAAATCTCAAATATATCCGGGGGGAAATATTTAGGGCATGTTTTATGAGGTCTCACTACTTCAGCTAAGAGTGCATAGGAAAACTTTAGTACAGATATTTTCCCAGTGATATATATTACTTTTATCTTTTCTGCAGCCATTTTCCTGGCCAAGTAGTTGGTGCTACTATTTGAATTTTAGCATCCAACTTGACTGACTGGAACACTGAATTCTTGATGGGCGGAACTAAAAGTGAAGTGCCACACTGACGTGAGGACTATAAATGTCACTAGAGAAACACAGCAACCTCTTCCCTTGGAGATTGGTTGCCAAAGGCCAGTTTTGAGGACGGTTTCTAATATGTAGATCACTTGTCACATATTCAGTGACTGGCCCTGTGTGCCATCACTCATTTGATCACGCAGCTAGAGCACCATGAGACACAGCGCCAGGTTCCCTGATAACGCATCCCCCCCACACACACACACAGGCAAGCCTCTCCCCTACAAACTGCTTCCTGTGGCTCAGAGCTTAGCATAATACAGTCATGAGCTGAAAATGGAGATAGCTATTCCACAGGCTTTACAAGAATAAATAATGCACCACTTAATGATATTGTGGAGAACAACTTCACCACATGTTTCTCAATGAAATGTGAATTCATCTCTCCTAAGTGTACTTTAGCTTCCATGGCTGTTCAAGTTAAGCAAAACGTTACCTCTGATGTAATTACTTTATAAAACACAAGGGTCCTTTTCTGAACTTTCTACTTAGGCTGGCATATGGCTTCTTGTTTCTCCTTCTGGTATTCTGAGCGGCTCAGAGCACGGAAGCATTCTGCACAGTATGTTTCCCTTTGGATGCTGTTAAGTGCAGAGGTGCAATTTAAGGAGAGGCATAAAAAGCCCAGTGGTTCCTGGAATTTCCTTTGTTTATCCATAGAGGGCATCAGTATTAGCCTTTCTCCTGCAGTTTTGGGCTGAAGGTGCCATACTGTGAGAGAAAGAGGCTTGTCCTCTGGACTGCTAATTTGAGCGAGACACAGATGGGGGAACAGGCTTCAAAGAAACCTAGTTATACTGAAATTTCAGGTACAATAGGAAGACTGAGCTCTTTTCGTGTCCTGTTGTTGGGTAATGTCTCCCCATGACACTAAACATATCAAGATGCACATGACTTCCCTTAATCTGCCCCTTATATTAGAGAAGCACCATTTCCAATAACACAGTGTATAAGCTTTACAAATGATGGTTTGATAGAGAGAGTATATTAGAAAAATCATTGTCCAGAGGAAAATGTAGATGTTCTCAACTACTCGGGAGGGATACAATTTTTTGTTATCAAGCAGAGAATATAATCGGAACTATACCTAAAAGCAAAAAATAAAGATGTGATAAATGCATATCAAATAAAATATGGTCCCTTAAAGTGTGTCACCAAAGTTGTCAAAAATTCTGTGAGAAAACTAATCTAAAAAGTTTTAGACACTTATGTAAACTAGAATTTCCAAGACCAAGTCTTACGAATATTTAAAAGTGAGAATACAATAGATCTAATTGCTAGAAAAACCATATAAAATTATTAGGGTCTTCTCCTCCCTAGGGACTGGCTACCACCTCTGTCTCTTGTCTACAATTTTTTTCAAAGTTTTCAAATTTGTTAATGTAGGGATTTCTTCTTTACCTAAATTAAAATGAGGAACGATTCACACTGTGTTTGAAAAGTAATCTGGAAACCAAAGGCAATCAAGTGAATACAAAAGGAATCTAAAATATAGGATAAAATGAAGAACCTTAACATAAAGGGCGCCCCTCAAAGCCCACTATGATTTTTAACACACATTATTATTTCTTAGTATATGGCATCTCATAAAGATACCTCTGAAAACATATTTCAGCAAACTTTTCATTCAGATCTCTGACACTGCTAGATTTTTGGAAGCTTACTTCTCTAACCATGCAAATTAGTAAGAAGTAGAATATGAAATCTATAACAGTTTTCAATATTGAACAATCTAAATAAATATTAAGAAGCCAAATTAATTATCTCTCTGTTGGTTCACTTGGAAGAAAACAAGTTGGAACTATAAGCTCCAGTCTAGAAAATGTATATGCTTTTTTTAAAAAAAAAAAAAAACACATGCAAAGTGTAGGAACAAATAATTCAGTGTCTGCAAGCCATGTTGAACTCATAATTGATTACATTTTAAAAGTCAAAGTGTTTACGTGGTATCTTCTACATCAGAGGGGCTTGAGTGTGGCTTTTGCCTCCCTGCAATTAATAATTTTATCTGACTTCTCTCCCTAGCCTCCTAAAATGAAATGGGCGATTTAGGATCTAACTCTTCCTATGTCGATAAAAACTTAAGCCAACAACAAAATACTTCTTTAGAGTGAAAGTGCTAGAACTTTGATGCCTAGGTTTGGAAATTTTATATAAAGTAATATTCTTTGGAAGAAAAGGTAATTTGAAGGATTTTTTTGAAATGAGTATTTACAATATTCTTAAGTACAAATCAGTATTTGACCCATAGAAATTTACAAAGCAAAGTTTCTCTGTGACATCTCTCTGATGTTTGACTTAGGGAGCATTTAAAATTAGGCAGAACCTCTTCTATTGAAAGTGGCAGAGATTCACCCAACTGTCAAGGCAGCTTTCTTTCTATAAGCTAAAAAATAAAGCCTTTCTCTTAAACTAAATAAGTGACTTTTTTAACAAGGTAGTCTCTGCGATTATGTTGGCTTTTCTTTGAAGTTCGGGCATCTGACTGTCTCTTAACCTGCGAGCAAGCAATTCTCACTCTGCATGATATATTACATCAGGTTAGTATATACACAGACATGTGCGTACGCACACAGACACATGTGAAAATAATTAAAAGCAAATGTTTCAGGGACAATTGTTCTGAAAACCTAATGTCACTCTGAACCATAAAGTGCTTCTCCAGCAGAGATATCTATCAACATCTATCACTCAGGCACCCGCCTCAACAACCTGCTCCCCTTTCTGATTAGAGATCACAGTTGCTTGAGTTGGCTTACAGAGTGTCATCTGTTTGAATGACAGATGTCTTGGCTGGAGTGGCAGTCTGCTTGTTCTTGTTTTGTTTATGAAACAAAGATTCCTGAAAGGTCCCAGGCTGCCTCTTCTATGTTTAGTAGGAAGCTATCAACATAATGGTAAAGAGGAGAGGGGTGGAGGAGGTTTTGCAAAGCACCTATTTTCTTTTCTCAGCATCCTTTTAAAAGAAGCATTCGTCCTGATTGTGATAACTAAATGTTATTTCTTTGAGCAGTTCCTGTGGCCACCTTTATTTACCTGGCATAGCGCGACTTGTATTGATATTTTTCAACCCTCCTCTCTAGTCTTTTGACTACAGATAATAACTCTTTACTCTCCTTCTCCTTAACAAAAGGCTGCGAAGCAACCCGAAACCGAGTCGATATTTATTCAATAAATGTTAACCAATTCTCACAATGCAACTGATTTTCTGATTATTATTACCATTTTCTTTTCTTGTTTATTTTTCCCCCAAATAATTTCCAGCCTGGGGAACACCAGCAATGTCTGGCAAATCAAAATGGGCAGCGAATAAGTTCCTTGTTGGTAAAAGTTTGGAGGACAACCTCCCAGCCAGCTGGGATCGGCTTTGGTGGCTTAGCACCTCCAAGATGCGAAACTCCTCTTTAGTACTTACAAGAAAATTGAATGAACAACCGGGGAGAAGGGGGAGGGGGTGAGGGGTTGGATTGCTCTTCCGGACAACATGGTAGGACTGAAATGAAATACCTAGACAGACTTACCGAAGAGCTTGCTGGGAGTGTCCTCGTTGTCATTTGATTCCACAGGCGCAAGCAGGGACTCATTCAGCTCGCTGTCTGAAGTAGCAGCCTTGTCTTCACCTCTCAACTCCGCATTCATTTCACTCTGCGCTGACAGCAAGGGCTTACTGACTTGTCCAGCTATCATTGGATCCTGGGATGGGAGGAAAGAGAAGGGGAGGAAAAAAAGTAGCTGCTTTAGAGTGCGTGTCCTCTCCCTCTCCTCTCTCTTCTTTCTCTCCCTCTTCCACACACACACACACACACTCTCCCTCTCTCCTCTCTCTCTTATCTCTGGCTGCTCCTGCTGTTATTGCTGGCTGCAGTCAAGTGAAGAGCTATTACAGATCCGATGAGTTCTCCATTACTCCCCACCCTATTAAAGCTCAACTAGCATGTGAGAGATTCAGGAGGCTTCAGAGGGAGAAAAAAAAGGAAAAGAAAAAGAAAAAAAAAAAAAAAAAACTTCTTTGAAAGCAACCTAACCAACACAGCTTTAATTGCGGGATATGCTTTTGTGCGAATGTTTTTACACCTTGTTCTGTCTTTAATGCAGTAAGAAAAAAAAAAAAAAAGTGCTGGGTTTGTACTTTAGCAACATACCTTTTTAGAAGGAGCACCCTATGGAGGAACCACGGGCTATTTTAAGAAGCCTTCTCCCTGGGGGAGAAGCAATTAAACTCTATCCCAAGAGCAGAGAAAAGAGACAGGGAGAAAAGAGACCTCAAAACGTTTTCAATGGAATAAAAGATATTTCTTATGTAAATTCCGTACGCACCCTTAGAAGTTGACTTCCCGTGTTCCAGTTTGGGAACAGAAGCCGACCCCAAATCAAATGAACATTTTAAAGCAAACAGCACACAACAAAATACACAAAAAAATGATTTTCAAATTTTTTAAAAGAATTGGGAAAATACTTACAAACTGCGTTCAATAATTCAGATACCTAGTGCATCATAAACCCAGAGCATTAAAGAAAAAAAAAAAATCACCTCCAAAAGAAAAAAAAGGCAAACTTTTGCCCCCAATAATCTAGATCTGCTTTATCTTCAGTTTACTTAGGAGGGCATGTTAGGATCAGAAATATTTTCCAAGTGTAGCCTTTTTCCATTTGCAAACTAAGACGCATGATGTTGCTTTGGCATAAATATCAGATGCAGAAGGAGAGGAAAAGCAAGAGGTGCCCTTTTTTTTCATGATCTGGGAGCTATTTATTGCCAAGTTCATGCCTAAATGGTTCCTGAGCAGGAAACAGGTGACCAGCCCTGGAGCAGGTGGGGTGCGTTCTCCTGCATCCTGTCATTACATTGGTTGCCGTATGCCTGTGGTTGTGTGTCTTTTTTTTTTTTTTTAATGTATTCATGCCTGAAAAGTGAATTTGATATGACACATGATAATCTATGAAAATGTTAATCAATACAAATAGTTTAAGCTGTCATCAAATGCACTTCTTTAGTCAATACTCATACCACTGAAAACAATGTCACTGTCACCAGGGCTTAATTTGCACCGCACTTAAATATTGGACTCTGTGCATCAATGCACTTCTTCTTCAAATACTGTAGGTAAACACATTTTCTCCCTATTTAAGGCTGAAGCACTCAGCACGCATTTAGCTGAGCCAAATCCTCCCTTTTGAATACCTTGATAGGTCCACTGGAGGGCAAAATTAATACTTAATTGAATCTCACAGTCATCAAAATAATCAATACTTTTTTATTATTTATTCTTTACAGTCTGTTGACTGTTTCAAACCTCTGAGGGAATGGTGGGAAGGATTCATGGCTTTGAAACACTGTCATTTAACAAGGTAATTTTCAGAGGGGCATTAGGGGTTGTGAAACATATAATAAAACAAAAATGGTGGCTTATAATAGGGAGAAAGAAAAGAATTATATTTCTGCCATCTAACAAAACAGGATAAATAAAAAAGCAAGTGCAGAGAGAGAGCAGGAAAGGAGGGGGATGCGGGAGAAAGACGGGCTTTTGAAGGGTTTTATCATATCAAGAGCAGAGTCTAGCTTTCATAATGCTGACATTTCTCATCCTGACAATCCTAAACAAGTGGAAAGGATGAGATCGCAGATATCATCTTTCATCACATTCCCCAGCTTAAGAACCGACATGACAGCTTCTCTCCCCTTTACACTGTTAATTACTAAATAAAATACTACTCTCTGTCAGCATCAGATTATTGCAGATAGCAACCACAAACATTTCTCCATTGTTTTCCCCCTCTGAAACGATGATACCTACCTTGAACTCTTTAGAAAATAGATTAGACTTGTCTCACTATATTGTAAATATTTGAAATAGAATCAATGTCATCAATGTGGGTGATTCACAGTATTGTCAGCCTAAATTTGCTGGTGATAGATTAGCATCTCATTCACTGGGTTTTGTTGCTGGGAACTTGGGGCGACAAGGAGAAGTAAACAGAGGGAAAAGGAGGCACATAATTTTCAAAATGTCCCCAGACTTCTTTCTTATATATTTAAGAGAAATGGCATGTTTGAATTCTTCTGGTTCAGTGAGTGGGCGAGGTACAGAAGGGAAAGGAAATACACTGCTTTATCTCATGGCATGTGTAAGTTTGCCTGTCATGTGATGCAGAGAGGCCAGGTTTAAATTCTGGAACACTCTCTTTATATAAGGCTGAATACTCAGTCTCTCTAATGTAAAGAAGGATATGTAACTTGTTCCCTTGCAGCTTGCATTCTCTGTGTCTGCCCTGCTCATTTGAGCATTTTAAAAGGTAATATTCACGGTAAACTTCGGAGGAGAAAGCCCTTCTTATGATACTCCAAATGTGACTATTCATGTATCAATGAATATCTGGAGAAACTTAAAAAGGAATGTTCACTTGCCTTATTTGCAAAGGGTCAAAACTGAATCCCGAATCACACCAAGGCACTAAAAGGCAGCTGCTAAGTTCAAGTGCACTTAAATCTTTAAGATGCTCCGTCTGGCTGATGTGTGCAGAGCATGTACTGGCAGATGGTATATATTCACCGACCATTAGCTCTTTGTCCTTAAATTACTTTTATGTACCTCATACATGGCTAGATTCCCAACTAGGTCTCTCAGTAACTTAAGCACAGAAAATTCAGCCTTTGTTATTCAAGTGTTCATTTGATTTTTCACCTTACAAACCACTTTTACATTTTTCATGATGCATTTGTGATTGATACATATATCAATCACAACTGTGTATATATACATGTATATATATGTTGTGTGTATATATACACACACACACACTCACACAGCATGGTTAAACAGCAAACCCCCAGTGAGGCAGAAAGCAGACAGCTTTTAATCACAGCTGCAGCCACTGGGGGAGTCCATTGGAAAATGTGTCACAAGCAGTCACACCAACTACAGTCTCAGAGCAATGGGGGAGTGCCACTTTCAAGTTGCACTCGGCTTGCAAGTTTTTCTCTCCTGCAAAGAGGTATAGCAATCTGTGCAATCCTTTCTGCTGGAGTGAAGAAAGTATTTGCCAAGCTGCACCTTCATAACTTTTTGCAGAAATGTAAGAGCTGCAACTTAAATGCATACAAGTCTCTGTAGCAGCAAGAGGGAACAGAAATAGCTAGTGCAGGTGAAAAATGAAAGAGTTGGTGAAGATGTCCGACTTTAAAAATCTGCAAATGTTATCACTGCAGCAGAAATAATTTAGATTTCTCTGCAATTTGTTTACGACCTTGGTAGAAGAAAGTGACTGCTCAAATTTGTAAGAGTGTTACAGGTACAAGACTAGGACATAGCATGTGGCAACACAGGACCCTTACAGAAGACATCAGACCGAAGAACTCCAGACAGTGAAAAGGAGAAACCAAAGAGGAAGTTTCCATTAGCAAAATTCCAACAAAGAATATTTCACTATGTTTTGTAACAAACAAAAGAACTGCAGCCATCATGGGAACTACACAGTAATTATTTAAGATACCTCTGGATATTGTTAAAGGCTAAAAATAGATACCATTTTTGGAATGCATTTACCAGCAAACTTTCAGATATATCTAATGTTACCCAGGGCAACCAAGATACTAGCCCATTTTGTGGATAAGGATCTAAAGCTCAGAGAGGCTGACTTGATCCAAAGACCCACAATTGAGTGGTAAAACTGCATTTCTAACTCTGGATTTATCTCCAAAGATCAGCATCTTTAGTGGTAGGCACTGAGTGAAAAACACCAAGACTCATAGACTTAGTAAGTCATATGTATCCTTGAATTATCTGAGTACTTTGAATTATGGTCCAAGAAGTCAGTGAGGGGGAAAGAGTGTTTAGCTTGGATGGCTGTTAGCCACAGAAAGTGATTAATGCTACATTTGTCCCACAAAAAGTGGAGCAAAACTCTTCTCTGGCTGACTCTGCTTAGGTGAGATCTGGGGGAAATAAGATACAAGAGACGGAACATCAGAAAGTATCCCATACCCAGCATTACAGTTAGCTTTATTTAGCTGCAGTTCCCGGCAGATAAAAGTAGCAAGTCACTTAACCACTGCTGATCTCGGTTTTCTCATCTGGAAAGTGTAAAAATTGGAATAAAATAGTGTTCTCCAAAGTGCATTCCACAAAACACTTGTCCCAAAAGATATTCTGCAATAAAAGAGTTTCACAGTTGTGTCTGCAGCAAGGAAATCTACCAGGGAAAAAACAATCCAACTTGGTTTAACTTAAGAGTTTCCAAATTATCTGATCATGGGAGGCCTTTCCTTATAACATTTACCACAGTATCATCTAACAGATCTAGAATATGCCAGCTGAGGTTATGTATAAATTACAGTATTAACTTTAATGACTCCATACCAACAAGCTAGAAGAGTTCTACAAGTGTATACCTTCCCAGTGCTTCTCACATTCCAATAATTTTACTAATTAATATTCCTTAAAAGTTCATTTATGTGCGGACAGTGTACATTTGCATATGGTCTAGCATCTATTAACTGCATATATACTCACCGTGTACTAATGTCTGATTTCCTCTAATACAATGCCTAATTGCAGAGATTCAGTGTATTACCTAAAAGTTTTAGACCCTTGATTTGAAGAGCAGAGCGAGGGCACTGTAGTAAGGTAGAGAATTCAAGTTGAGTTTTCACAAGGTTGCTAAAAATAACATCAAATAAACAGAGATAATTCAGC